ATCCACAGATCGCCTGCCACACTAAGTACTTCTTGGCAAATTTGTTGACCTTCTTCTTCCGGAACTTCTCCGAAACATCCAGGCGGAACTTGCCGACGAAGAACTCCAGGCCGGTGATTTGCTTGGCGTCCGCTTTATGTACGTCTCGTCGTCCATTACGATGTATTTCGTCTGCACCAACCACTCGCGGTACAGCTTCCTGGCGCGGGACTTGGCCATCGTATTCTGTTTATCGGTTCAATTAAGCGCCTTCCTTACCTTGAAGACATGAAGTCCGGCCCGCTTCATTGTCTGCTGGACGAGCCAAACGGAAGAATTGACCTTCTTGACCACGTCCCGAATCGAAAGGTTTGGTTTGCGCTTGAAGTAAACCCTCACCTTCCTTGTGTTCACGGGGTCGGTCGTCTTCGCTTTCCTTCCGCTGCTAGCTCGCCGCTGGGTCGTCTGGGTCTTCTTGAACGATTTTACCACACAGGACACGGTCAAATTGTTGATTCCAAACTGTTTCGCGATCCACCTGTAAGAATGGTCTGGATTTTCCATGACTTTTTGTCGAAGCACTTCTTGCTTGGAAGCCATCTCGATAACCACTTGGCAGATTAAGACGAGATTTTGCACATGTAAGCATTACACTCTAAACTAGTTTTACTCACAATTACATCATTTTTACCCATGCAATAAAAAGTTATACACACAAAAAAGTGTTGCATTTTTTTTTTCTCGAGTGCAATCTTTAATATTCAAATCCGTTTCCCCACTGCATTAAGGTACCGCTTGCTTTATAAGGCTGTACCGCTGTATAAGATGTGCTACGTGTTCTGAAAGAAACCGCCAAAGTATTAGGATATCTGGAGTGATTTGAGATTTTGGTGCAACAGCTTTTGTAAACCTAAACAGGTAGATGAATGATTCCTCTACCAGGCGGTATAGCTAGTTTTTTTAGAGTTAGCTTTAATTCGCGAGAAGTCATTATTTACAAAAGTAGTTGCGCCCTAATTTCAAATCAGTCCGATTCTTGAAGTATTTACCAGTGCTTATATTTGTCATTGTCGTTGACAGACTTTCGCGCGATATTGGCAAAATTGTTTTTCACATAGTCACTGATAGACTTTACCCTTAAAAAAATCTTCTGACCATGAAACAAGCAACTCATGGGATTCCCGATCAACTTCGACCTATTATTATTCCGCGTATTTTTACTGAAAAGTACCAACAAGTCAATTGCATGAAAAGATATTTTTACAGACGGGTCCCGTCTCAATGGATCCACTGGCTTCGGTGTCTTCAATGAAAACTCTAGCGCCTTCCACAAACTTCAAGAACCTTGTTCCGTTTTTGTTGCTGAGCTGGCAGCAATCAACTTCGCATTGGGGATGATTTCCAACATGCCCGCAGACCATTAATTCATCTTCACGGATAGTCTCAGTTCGATTGAGGCTATTCGGTCGATGAAACAAGGTAGGCACTCATCTTATTTCCTTTCAAAGGTAAGGGAGCAGATGTGTGTGCTGGTCGAAAGATCATATATGATTACCTTTGTATGGGTCCCCTCACATTGCTCAATCCCAGGCAATGAGAAGGCGGACTCTCTCGCAAAGGTGGGGCGCAGGAAGGTGAATTGTATGACAGGCAAATTTCACACGATGAATTTTACCATTTAGTGCGTCAGAGTACCTTTTCGAGTTGGCAAACCGATTGGGACACTGGAAATCTTGGACGGTGGTTACATTCAATTATTCCTTATGTTTCTTCGAGAGCGTGGTTTAAAGGCTTGGGCTTAAGTCGTGACTTCATTCGCGTGATGAGTAGACTTATGACCAACCACTACTCGCTAGATGCTCATCTCAATAGAATAAACCTCGTGGACAGCAACATCTGTCGGTGTGGAAACGGTTACGATGACATCGAACACGCAGTTTGGCAATGTGCAAAGGCCTCAAAATCCAATATTAATCTGAGTAAGAAATTAACCAGTAATAGACCCCCATACGGTAGTATAAAATACACAACTTAACAGCAGCAGTGACAATGTCGCACATTTCCAGGGTCAGTTGTTTATAAACAGTTGCTACCGCGTCGTCAGCGATTCGCGCTGGCTTAACTAGGTGCTTCGAGAAAGGTCAAAGTAAACATTGGTGAGTAAGCATCCTACATAGCCGTTCCTACCGCGAGGAGCATTAATTCTTGTTAAAAAAACAGACACCGACTTTCCAAGAGAAAAACTACCTGTCTCGCTTTATATGTACATACTGGAGAAAAACTATTGTGTAGAGTTCAAGTAACAAATTCATGTATAAAAGGTTTCGAAGAATAAAGAATCGAGGCAGTTGTTCTGATGAGTTTATTATCCGAGGTTTGCTAGGTGCGGACGAGCACAGTTCCAACCTCAGGATAACTGATTCATCAAAGAGCTTTTTCCATACAATAGAAATGGAATTGCACTGTCTTTCATTTTACGGAGAATGAAAGACCACGCGAGTTGTTGCTCTACGTTGGGCACTTCAACACGGGAGTGAAACATGGATGCGCAACGGAGTTTGGGCGCTTCAAATGTACGGATAATGACGCCGCCAGAGAGCGACTTTTGAATACCCTCGAGGCCCAAGGAAGACAACCCTATGTTCCTATCAGAGACGTGTTGGCAACCCGTGATCTCTGCTATATGCAGTCCGTTTATTTTTTTCTTCAAATGTCTAGTATACAAATTTAATTCCTTTTGTCTTTTGTCTCTCTTTATCAGTTTTTGTTTGTCTTGTCCCCCCGTCTCGATGAGTCTCATCGTCGCCCACTGGTCACCCACCATAGCCGGTCGAACTCCGGACGAAGCTAGAACAGCACTACCGTTCATACTAGCGACAACGCTCTGATGAGACAACGAAACCCTACCCCAAGCTCCTCCCCTGATCCTATCCTTCGAAAATGTACCCCTGCAAAGGCCTCAAAATCCAATATCAATCTGAGTAAGAAATTAACCAGTAATAGACCCCCATACGGTAGTAGAAAATACACAACTTAACAGCAGCAGTGACAATGTTGCACATTTCCAGGGTCAGTTGTTTATAAACAGTTGCTACCGCGTCGTCAGCGATGCGCGCTGGCTTAACTAGGTGCTTCGAGAAAGGTCAAAGTAAACATTGGTGAGTAAGCATCCTACATAGCCGTTCCTACCGCGAGGAGCATTAATTCTTGTTAAAAAAACAGACACCGACTTTCCAAGAGAAAAGCTATCTGTCTCGCTTTATATGTACATACTGGAGAAAAACTATTGTGTAGAGTTTAAGTAACAAATTCATGTATAAAAGGTTTCGAATAATAAAGAATCGGGGCAGTTGTTCTGATGAGTTTATTATCCGAGGTTTGCTAGGTGCGGACGAGCACAGTTCCAACCTCAGGATAACTGGATTCATCAAAGAGCTTTTTCCATACAGTAGAAATGGAATTGCACTGTCTTTCATTTTATGGAGAAAGAAAGACCACGCGAGTTGTTGTTCTACATTGGGCACTTCAACACGGGAGTGAAACATGGATGCGCAACGGAGTATGGGCGCTTCACCCCTCTAACATCGAGTAAGCCGCGAGTAATCGGCCCAACTCCTACTAGACATAGAATTAAGTGAATTTTGTTACACACAGTGAACAATGAATTATCGGCTCCGTAAAGCTAACACGATTGAGCCTTCCAAATAAACGAACTAGATAAAAAAAAATCTTCGTCAAAATCTCATTCAATTTTTCGTTAATAACAAAGATTGACCTGGTAACAAAAAGTGTGATATCGTGCATTCTGTATCACATCACTATTATCCAAGCAGTTCAGGATGAAGATGCTTTTTCACTTTAACGGCTCCATGTAATTGTTTTGCTCAAGTCTTTTAATTTCGTTACAAATTTAGCTAATAAAAAAAAATCTACTCATGTTTGTCACTGACAGCATTGTCACTGACAATTGGCATGGTTTGCCTTGATAATGAATATTAGCTCAAACGAGTGACCAAAGTAGAATTTTGAATATCGTCGTGTTCTGTCGAAATTTTTCATCACTGGTATTTACTGCAATTGGTCCTTGCACAACAATATTACCACAAGCTTTGGTTAGCAGTAAATAATCAAAATTCATAAATAAGGTGGTAGCAAGAAAACGTAACGTGTGCCCTTTTTTAGGATATAAGTTCGTTATAGATTTTAGCTCAAGGGGTCATCCAGAAATTATGTAAGGGGATTTGAATGTTTATAGAATCCCCCAAGGGGACACTGTAAAAATTTCAGTTAACCCCCCTTCCCCCTAAAATCTAAGCAAAATTTTAAAATTATCAGAAAATCTTAAAAAATTTAGTTGGGATCATAATTTAGTTTATCATATGCTCATTTAATGTCTGTTAAGGATTGTTAACATAAAAATGGTTAAGATCAAATTATTTTCTTCTAACTATTGAATCTTATGTAAGAAAATGTTAACCCTCTCTCCTGCATTATGATAAACTGTAAGAAATTTTGAGAGCCCCTAAACCCTTACATAATTTGGGGGCCAAGGGACCACAAAAAAGTCAAATATAGGTAGATGTTTCTTAGTGCTCTTTGAGCTCATCAATAGTAGTACATGAGACCGTTTTGAGCCTTTCCCATTTTTGCTCTCGTATATTGTGTTGTGTGTAATACCCCGTTCACATTACAGTCTATATCACGTAATATAGGCTGTCTTGCAATGAGCACTCATACATAGGATTTCCAGTGAAAACTAGATGTATGAGTGCTCATTGCAAGGCATCGTATATCACGTGATATACGCTGTAATGTGAACGGGGTATAAGGAATCAAAGATATCTCAAAATGACAAATTTACAAGCGATCAGCCAGCCGAACGATAACGCTATGTCAGAAATGGATTTTTTTTTTTTGTTGTATTTCAAAGCTATTCCTGAAGATCTCTATCATCTCTCAGGTCAACTACATATACAAATACACCCCTAAAACCCGTTAACATGATTCAACTCTGCACTTACCGGGTATATTGAACTGTATGGTATATGGATTCCTTCTCTTGATGTTGGTTATTTCGATTATCTCATTAGCCTTTTCAATTTTGATCTTAATCCAATCGTCCTTTACCAGCGGCTCAACGAGAATAGCAATAATTTTACTCTGACCAACTTTCACCTTTCTTGGAAACAAAGTAAATGCCTCTTGATGACCAGCAGAATGAGCTGCCGTCGACGGTTTTGGCGATGAAAGTACAATGGTCGCTTCTGAACAGAGCGGTTGCTGACGCAGTGCGCGTCCAAGAATGTCCGTAGCGATACCGAGTAGTTCACTAACGAATGATTGTTCGTGATCGCCCACGGCACACGTACGCCATTTGTTATACGATGGGAATGTGCCCTTGTGAATTTCCCACACACGTGCTTCTGTTACGTCCAAAAGCATGCCTAAGACTCGCTCCGGTTTCAGTAGCAGTCCCAAATTGGAGTGTAAAAACTGAGACGACAGCGAGAGAAATGCTGGGCAAACAATTACAATCTGCAACTTCGTTGACTGGCATCGATGAGATAATTGTTGTGTTACTTGATCTTCGTCAATTTTTACGTGTAAGAAACTGAAAATAAAGGATATCAAATTATGTTTTTGACAAACCTATGCACGTAAAACATAATGCTTCATCCTGCGATACTCACTTGAAAGGTAACCGGCCTCGTTGTTTTGTTATTTTGTCAAAGCACGTCTTCAAATGATTCACCCACATCACAGCTTGTTCATTGTGTCGGATTGTGACGAACAGGATATCATCTATGGCATGCATTGAATTTTCACCTGATTAAAAGGAAAAGAAAAAAAAACATTTTATTATCACCACCTCTATGAAAAATAGCTTAAGCGCAAAAATGTTATGGATAATCCATGCCTTTGCAGCACTGTTGGTACAAAATGCATATGTTTGGTGTGGTAGATAGAGCTGAACTAAATGTCTGCTGCAGTTTAACATTTTCAAATTGCAACAGATCATATAGCAGCACCACATGAAACGCTCGTTCTTATCGTCTTTGTTTACCCAAACAAGGAAAACCAACATAAAATAGCAACATTAATCCACCTAGTAAGTGGTATATTCTCAGTATTATCGTACGAAGAGCAAAAATTAATCATAGACAAAGCTGTCATAAGAAATGTAGGCAGTGAATTTATGCTAGAACGAAACAAACTAGCAGAGGTAAATCTTTCTACAGTGTGAGTATGATTTTGGAAACACATCTCCAATGTCTTTAATTAGCTTGTTCTTTGCTTAAACTCTATTTGGTATTTTTCTATGATAATCAGGATAATTATGAATTATTAATATGATTACAGTGGAGAAGATCATATAATCAGGTTTTATATATTTGTTAATGTGTGGAAAGGTAACCCGGACCCTTACATCAATAACAGTAAATTTCACAGCTAGTTGAACTATTAGTTCAGCGGTTGCACAATAACGGAAAAAATTAACCCCTATTATATATTGCATTATTGGAAAGAGTAAACGAAAAACCACGCGGGGTCATTTTACCCCAGGGGTGCATTATGTACTGTTCTCCCCCATCAGTATTTTTTCCCTCTGTTCGTGACCTAACACCACTGCGACCAGTAATTTGATCTAATGTAATATATCCCGTGTCTTTAGTTTAGTGCATGTCGTATTACTCCATCATTATTGAGAAATGATGAAGTAGGGGAAATGTCTCTAATGTTGGCCTATGGATCTAAGATTGGGCCCATCGCTAAAAATCTGCTATTTATTAATTTTATCTAGATGAACGCGTTATTGGGACGTTACTAATGCATATTTTTGGTTGCTATTGAAAATTTAGTCGATTGCTGAATTTATGTATGGGCCCAAATTAGGGACACTTAGGCCGACATTACCTGCATTTCCCCTATTCGATTTGTTTACAGTTGTCATTCTTGCATTTATCGCAAGGATCCGACTCTAATTGAAAGGTCCCGCTATTTATACCCTTCGGAGTGTTGAAACACCCTCCAAAGGCGCGCCCCTTTTTCAGTCAAAATTAGATTCCTTAGCAACAAAATTAAGGAATGACACCGATAATGACCATGCATCAGAACCCTAGTCTTAACCACTTCAAACTAGGGAACAACGAATAGAAGATTAGGAATCATATAGATGAAGACATACAAAGTATACTGTTGTACTACCGTTGTACTGCTTTAATCTAGTACCACAAATTGTACTTTTGAGGTACTAGATTAAAGGAGTACAACCAACCCGTGGAAACTAACGATTTAAATTAGATCACTACTTGCCCTAGTAGCAACAATCAATACGAAACTAACGATTTTAAATTGGCTCACCACTTTAGTAGCCTATTGGTCCCAAGCAAACGATTAACGTACCCTATTCTAGTTGAAATTCTATTACTACACTATGTTTGTTTTGATTCGCTATGAAAGTTTGACAGATAACATCAGGGGTGTGTGGATTCATGCAGAACATGCAGGGGTGAGTGAAATAGCTTGGGACTGCTTGGGACCGTTGTTCTGGTACTGAGTGAGCCAAAAATAATAATGATTTTCTTCGGGACCCAGTGGTCTTAGAGTTACCTCTATGCTAGTAGCACGCTTATCACAAATCAATTGTAGAAACTTATATACGACTTATTTCAGTCATAAACAAGTTGCTATGACTTATTGTGATGAAAGTTTGCTACTCGGGTGACCAGCCTATTGGTCCCAAGTACATCTATAAGCGTACCCCATTCTAGTCATAATTCTAGTACTCCACTATGTTTGTTTTGATTCGCTATGAAAGTTTGACAGATAACATGAGGGGTTCGTGGATTTCCCTATGTTTCGAGGGGTGCATCGATTAGCTTGGGACCGAAGATAGTACCAGAGTTGAGCCAAAAAGTTGAGCACGTTTCTTCGGGACCTTCTGGTCTTAGAGTTACCTCTATGGTGCGACCATGCGGTACTGATGTATTGGCAATGCCTATTGGGTTTCGCCAAGATTAAGAAACTCTTGTTCTGGGCAAATCGATCTTTTAATCCAAAATTGACTTATAAGCTCGCTGAGGCAAATGAAGAGTATAGAAAAGCATTGAGAAACTTTGAAGATAAAGAGATCGAAAAGTTCTTTCGAGACTTTAATCAGTACTCAGCCAGAGAAAGGATCAATCGCATTTTCAGGTATCTTAAGAGGTTCAATAAGAAGAGCAAACCTCGGTCGAATAGGGTTCAAATTCATTTGGATGAGTGGATACCTAATATTTCATGTCCCTCAATGATTCCTGGACATCTGCCTGAAGATTCTACACGTGCCGTTCCTAACCCTCTTACCTTGAGTGAGGTGTAGCAGATCATCAACAGCATGAAGAACGGAAAGTCCCCTGGAATAGATGGTCTCTATTCCGATTTTTTTAAATACTACGATGAGTGAACGATTCAAGAACTACACAGCGTTCTAGTCAGAGTTTGGAACGAAAACAAGTTGCCCGAGGAGTGGAAGAGAGTTCTGGTAGTTCCAATACCAAAGGTTAGGAACGCTAAATCGGTGGACGAGTATAGGCGTATTAGCATAAGCTGCACAGCATACAAGGTGTATGCGTCTTGGATTCTACAAAAACTTCAATGATCAATTGAGTCAATAGGACTTCACCAAGCTGCATTTCTTCGGTCGACAACTGATCACTTACATGTGTTGCAGAGAATTCTGCAGGAACGATGGAATGGTGGAAGACCTCTTCTATTGATGTCCCTTGACATTGAAAAGGCGTTCGATCAAGTTTCTCTTGATGCACTACCAACAATTTTAAGAGGTTTGTTTTACTGATGCGAATGACGTATGCTAAATCTGATTCAACCTCTGGTTTCCTCTCCTTTTCTTCTCCCTTTCAAGGCAAGGGTGTTTCGGACCTCTTCATAAATCTGGTTTAATAAATTATGGTTTTGTCTTATGGAATGTCTTAGAGATGAACAGCAGCAAGTGTTGCGGGGAGTGCAGCTGTCACAACCTTTCTACCGCAGCAGGGGCATCAAGCAAGGTTGTCCCCTATCACCATTCATCTTCAACTTGCTGATGGAATCTGTACTCGAGTCAGTTGAGGATGAAATAGAGAATCTGAAACTGAATCAGTCGGAGCGTTTTACGTTTCCCATGGTTTTAGCGTTTGCGGACGACCTAATAATCATTGCGGAATCGAAGAAGGAAGTTGAGAAAATTTATTCAATGCTGCAAGAATACCTATCCTACGTCGGACTCTACCTAAATTAGAAAAATTGTAAGGCACTTATACGAGATCCAAACGGTGAGGTTCTTTTGGAAATCGTCATCAACGTGGCAACGTACAAGACGACAGAACCTCTGCGATACTTGGGGCTATACTTGCTGCAGAAACGGCGGATCACCAAGAAGTTACGCATGTACCAGATGCGATGGGGGTTGAGGGGCATGTAAGGAGACGACCCTCATCTCATCAACTACGCTGTGCAGCTCGTCTGAGAGTACTACATTTGCATCGCTTCAGACCTAGTTTTACTTGGTGGGACAGTATCCATCAAACAATACAACGCTACGGCAATCTTACATACGAGCAATGGAAGGAACTAGCGATGAACATGAAGGCATTTCACAAAAAGTTACTTGAAATCTACGATCAGAAAGAATCCGATTCCGGCGATTGGGTTATGACCCTGAGCGATAAAGAAAAAAGTAGAAGGATCTGTGCCTAGGGGCACGAATGGAAGCTTGACGTAGGACCGCTAGTGGACGGAACAAATATGTTGACCATTTAGTTCTTAACTTTTTCCGTTTTTAAATTAGTGGCCCTGAAAAGATACAAATCATTAAAAAATCATGATTCAGGATTTCGAGGTCTGTTAAATAGATAAATTCTTAAGAAAGCAAACTTAAGTCATTCTCCAAGATTCTAAATTATGAACACACTATTTCTGAACTTCAAATGAACTCAAAGTATATTTACGACGATCCGCAATAAGATCATACTATAGAATTTATACAGATTATTTTACAGATTTTTGTCAGCCAGAAACAGATTAAAAAGATGTTTCACGGTGAAAATACAGATTGAAATTGAAAATAATTTGACAACACTGAGTCGTCTTCGTATTGCTGCGATGCGTGCTGTTTCATTCATACGTCGTGTCCGTCACTTATCCGTCCGTTGCTCGAAAGCAAATGACGAAGAAAACGCTTTGGCAAGCATTTCTATTATCGCTGCTTTTCTCCTCCATTCATTCCATTGGTGAAATGGTGAGCGATCAACCGAGCATTGAGCTCGCTTTTGTGAGCTTACGCAATGTGTCGTTTATTCGATTTGCGCTCTATCGTTGCGTCCGTGTTTGGGATTTTTCGTTACATGTCAGAATTTTGATTTTTTTTTAATGTGACCCCCATTATATAAATTAAAGACGTAGTCCTACGTCAAAAGGTTCACTGTAAAACTTCCTTTTCACGTAAACTAGCAGCTTGCAAGAAATGTTGCAAACAAAGGTGGAAAGTTGCATACAATATATGGAATATTGCATGACATGTCTCATAAATTTACACGATTTATAATGTAAATTTGTATGATTTATGACGCTCCATTTATGTGCATCATAGCAACGGAAATTTACTCTACTTTTTTTTAGCTGTGCAATCTTATACCCCGGACAGACTATGGCTTATATCATGTAATATAGGCTAGCTTGCAATGAGCACTCATACATCTAGTTTTCACTGGAAATCCTATGTATGAGTGCTCATTGCAAGACCGTCTATATTACATGATATAAGCCATAGTCTGTCCAGGGTATTA